TGCCACATCCCCGTTCCTGCCAGGTCCGTAGCTGGGTTTTAGCCAAAAATCTTTGGCTGCAGAGCCCCAGCAGACACTGGGAGCACCGGTGTCTCTATGGGGACATGGCGAAAGGGGACATGACACTGCAGAGGGGGGGTGCTGCCCTGCACCTTGTGGCTTCTTGAGGCCCTTGGCCACTTGGGAGCGGGGAGCCGGGCTCTCCTTCTTCTTCCGAGGCTCTTTGGTGAATTTGGAGTAGGGGTCCTTGTCGCTCTCCTCCCCCGCCTTCTCCTCCTTTTTCTTCCTCACCTTCTTCACCCCTGCGCATTTCAAGAGATGCCCGGGATGGAGAGCGCCTCAGGGGCAGGATGGGGCCATGAAGGGGACACCGGTCCTTGTCCCCATTTCCCCGGGGGTTGTGGGGGCTCTGCTCACCCTGACCTGGGGCAGGAGGCTCCTCTGCAGCCCCTGACTCGCTCAGCTTCTTCACCCGCGGCCGCCGTGGCTTGGCCTCGCCCTCCAGCCCAGGCTCCTGCCTCTTCTTCTTCAGCTTCTGCCCTCATGGGAGGCGCTGCAGGGATGGAGCCAGCCTTAAACACCTTTTCCTTTTACCAGGCAGCCCCTGGCTCCCTTTTGGAAACACAGCCGGGATTTTCCCTGGCCCAGCACGGGAGTAAGGGACACGCTCGGGAACCGGGACACGCTCCCACCTTCCAACGAGTGACTTACCATGGGACAGCCCCCCGAGGAAAGCAGAGGGAGGAAAACAGAAAGGGCTGTTAGCAGAGAGACACAACACCCACCCTGGGACAGCCCCAGAGATGAGGGATGTGATGTTGGTGCTGCTGTGACTCCGTGGACAGTGTCACCACACAGGAACGAGTGACACTGTGCCACAGCGACCCTGGCTGGGAGCCACTCTGGCTTCTGATGGCCACTCTGGGGCAAGGCACGACACAGGGACGTGCAGACAGCCTGGCCTCTCACCTCCTCTCATCTCCTCTCACCCCCGCAAAAAGCTGCTGTCAATGGCAAGGAGGTCAGCAGGAGCAGGGAAGCAGGAGGATTAGGCACAGCACACCTAATCCCGGTTAGCTGGGGCCATAAATAACTCAGATTTACCAAATACAGAGCATGTGGGTCAGCATTTGGCTCTGGACAGGAGGTATTTGGGGAGTGGGTGTCAGCTCAGGGCTCTCAGAAAGTGATCTCAGCAAATCCAGGTGCGCCAGAGCTTCCGCTGCCCGATGGAGCATCTTCCCCATCACAGGGATTTCGCTCCTCCTGGGTGCTCCAGGGTGATGGGTGAAGGCATTTCACAAAATGTGGGATCCTAATGGATCACAGTGGGGTCCCAGAGCTCTGAATTTGGGGAGGGGGAGCTCCGTGGTGAAGCTGAGAACTGGCTGTTTTCTTCCGTGTCATGAGCTCACACGGAAAAGCTCCTTTGCACCCCCTAATCCTTTAAGAAGCTGTGGGGTGGGCAACCACTCCCTTGCTTAACAAAGCCCTTCAAGGAGGGGCTGATGATTAAAAATTAAATTTGGTGGTGGATGAAATTGCTGCTGAGACCCTCCCCAAGGCTGGGGGGCAGCTGGGGGATGTTCTGAAATGAGGGAGGGGGGTTCTGGCTTCAGGGTCATGGCCTGGGGAAAGTGAGTCACAGTTTACAGCTTAACTGAGGGGCTTAATTAAAGTGTTATTTAAGAGCTGGGAACCCTCCCCTCAGGATGCTCTGAAGCGATGGAGGGGGGGTTCAGAAGGAGGCACAAAGAAGGGAGGGCTGTGGAATTTTCTCTACCCACCTGCTCTGGAGGGGGTTCCCAAAAAAAACTCACATCCCTTCAGGCTGCAGCACCCCAACAGAGCAGCCCCAAGTTGGCCTTATGTGGGGCTCTGGGGTTTGAGGGTCTCTGAGGTCCCAAACCCTCAGGGACAGCAGGGAATGGTGGCACACGGGATGGAGGGGAAGGTGTTTTTCTCACCTGTTTGGGCTTGTGCTGGGGGCTCTCCGGCTCCTCACTGGGGCTGTGGAGCACAGAAGGCAAAAGGGTGAGAGCTTTGTGCACTCCTCATATCCTGGGGGCTTGAGATTGCCCCAGATTTTGGTAGAGGAGGAAAGGTCCGTCTTTCGTTTGGTTCCAGGAGGATTTCCCCATCTCAGCCAGGTCCAGCCTGTCTGATATCACCCTTCCTGACAGGGAGCACAGGCCAGGCTCTGCCTCGGCCGAGGGTGACAGGGATTTGGGGATCCCCCTCTAACAAACACTTCCCCTCTCTGTAAATCCATAAACATCACCGCACCAACCCCCGACACAAAAACCCTACGATAAAACTGCTCATTAAATTACATTTAAATTAAAAACAGGCGAAAAAGGCGCTGGAGGAGCAGGGGATGCTTTGAGGGTGTCCAGCCCATCACCCACCCCACTGATCCCACCCTGCCCACCAACACTCACCTGTCAGCAGCCCAGACTTCTCTCAGGATCTCCGTTTGCAGTGGCATCGCTGTTGGCACTGTCCCGGACTCCCGGTGCTGCTCTGCCTCCCTCCCCGGTCCCGATCCCGATCCCGGCCCTAATCCCAGTCCCGATCCCAATCCCGGTCCCGTCCCGGTCCCGCAGCCCCTACCAGCCCAGCACCAGGGCCATAGGGTCAGGCTCAGCCCCAAAAGCCAGAGCAGCCTCACAGCATCGGCTCGGCCGCCTCCGCAAATCTGAGCGGTGGGAGGAGGAGAAGGGAAAGGAGGAAGAGCAGGTGGAGGAGGCGATTAACTTTATTTCTCCTGAAACTCGGTTAATAGGATTGCAGGCGCTGGCAGCCAGGCTTGCCGGGAGAGCAGCTGGCAGGGGAGTAATCGCAGGGAAAGGGGGCTCTGCGGGAATGAGGGGGGTCAGTCAGACCCCGATGCTTTTTGGGGGGCACAGATTCCCCCCTCACTGGGTGGGGTCCCCAGCATAGCAGAGCCACTCATTCCAGAGGAACTGCTCTCTGTCCGTGTTTAGCTTTATCCTCCTCGGGAATCTCTGGTTTTCACCCAAAAAATGTTTTCTTGGTGAGAGAAGAGCAGGATCTGGGCTGTTTTGTGAGAGCTGTGCACGGAAAGCCCACACAGGGGAAGGCAACATCACAACTCCGGGCAGTGCCAAGGTCTCTGCACTGCCCTCTGCCCTGCTCTGACCACTGCCCCACACCCCCAGGACTCTTTGGGTGAGGGGTTTCACAACCTCCCCCATGCCCCTCCTCGTTATTACACCGTTTAACCCTTAAAATTCCTCCTCAAAGGCCCCCTGGATGCTGTTGGGTTGCAAAGCCAGACCAGCCAAGTGTCCCCACTGTCCCCACTGCCCCCTTGGCCTTGCCCAGCCCACCACGGTCCCCCCCAAACCCGTGCTCGGTGCCACTAGATGGCATTTGAGCACTGCACACTGAGACCCACCAGCACCGGGAACTCCTGATACCTTCCTACAAAACATTCCTGGTCTCCCTTTCATCCCTAAACCTCACCACCAGCACAAGTTCAATTTCTCTTCCAAGAGAGAGAAAAGCACCCAGCCAAAATAAACCAAAAATCTGCTTAAAAACGGGGAGCAAGCCCAGAAACTGCAAAACAAGTTGATTTCTTTTTTTTTTTTCCCTGTAGAGATTGTTTCCTACGGAAAATGTGGCTTGGGCTGCCCCCAAAGGACTTTTCTGCTGCGAGAAAAAAGTAAAAAGCCCATATTTTGCAGAGACCCTGGGTCTCAGAGCAGCCTCCAGGGAGGTGCATCCCATGGTGGCACAAAACTCAAATCCTGGATGAGCAGCTGGGGCAGCCACATGGATGCAGGTGGGAAAACAGATGGATTTGAGAAATGCTGTTTCAGGTACCCCCAGATGGGACAGAGAGAATTTTTAACCAAATCTGGCTTAGTCTCCCAAGATTTGAGGGGGGTGGGATAAAAGAGAGATGTGCAGTCTTAACATCCCCACTGGCTCAGCCTCAACACCCTCAGATGGCACAAATGCCATCTCCACCCACCCAGCTGACCCTCAGGAAGCCCCCTCCCAAAAGATCACACTGGGGTGGATAAAAAAAAAGCATAATGATCAATCTCCCAGCATGAAAAAACAGCTGAGACCCCCAAAGTTCATCCCCCAGGCAAGGCATTTCCAAAGCATGGACTGCTGGCCCTTCACTGGCTCTCCAAAGAACCATGGCACTGATTAAAATTAGATTAAAATCAGTCCTTGGAGACACCAAAATTCCTTCAACTGCTGGGGCATCTCCCCCCAAGAAATGCCCACCCATCCACCCCACAGCCGCCCCATTTGCTGAGCAGGATCCAGAGAAAGAGTACTTTATTTTTATTTTTTTTTTTCTTTTTCTTTCAGTTGTTTATTTTCAAGTTCCAAAAGGGGTATTATTGTAGAGACAGGAAAAATAACAACTGGAAAGCTGTTCTCAGGGGGTGGTGACGGTGTCCCCCTTTAGGATGGAGGGGGTTGAGGAGGCAGCAGCAGCTCCGGGATGCACCCGGGACCCCCTCACCATGGGAAAGCTGCTCAGTGACAAACCCACGGCACCAGCTCAGACCCAGCCACTTTCTGAACCTCTCCTCAACCTGCTCTTTATTTTCCCCACACACAGATCCCAAATAAGCAATAAAAACTCCCCTTTAAAGCCGGGAGCCATGGGATGGGTTGAGCTCCCGCAAAGCTGGACAGGTTTTTGCTCTCCAAAGAAACAGGAACCAGCTTATTCAGAAGGTAAAATCCGTGTGTGCCCCCTCCCCAAATTGTCTCAAACACTAACGATGTCCCTGCACCCCAGGGCTGCAGCAGGGGTGATGTGGGTCCTCACCCCGAGCCCCTTTGGCCAATTCCTGCTGCCCAGGGCTGTGCTGGGGACAGCCAGAGGTACCACAGCAGTGCACAAGGAGCCTGTCCCACATCAGAGAGGATGCTGTGCTGACAGTGGACACAAAGCCAAGGGAGCTAGAACAAGCTGTCTATGGAAACCTCCCAAGAGCCAAGAGTTTTAATTTATTATTATAATTTTTTTTTCTTTTCCTTGCTGTTTAAATTGCTGTTTGTTCCACGTGCGGTGGTCCCATGGTGTCCTGCCGCTCCTGCTCTGCCCCCAGTGCACCCAGGGCAGTGGGACAGGGTTTGCTTTTCCTCACGAGGTGCTTTTTGCTTCCACGATCACACAAACTGTAACAAGCTTTACAAGAAAACACTGGCAAGTCCCAAGGTTTGGCAGCAACCTTTCTCTGTGTGGGCCGAGGGCACGAGGCTACCCCATCCCCTCCTCCTCCATCATACATGTCCTTCAGCCTCTTCACCTTCAGCACCAGGAGTTTTCGGTCCTTTTTCACATGCTGCCTTCTCCGTTGTTTTTTCCGCCCCGGTTTTGCTGGCTGCCTCCTGCCAAACAGCAAATAAAACACACTGAGATGGAAACAGGGCAGGGAAGGGCAGGAGAGTGACAGAGATGCTGGAGACAGTTGGTTAAGACTGGAAGGGCAGGCAAAATTGTCCCCCAAAACTCCCCCATGCCCACTGGACTGTGCAGCTCACACAGGAGGGTCCTGTTTTCATGACTCAGTGGTGGCAGAGGTGAAAGCTCAGCAGCTCAGCCAGATTTTGGGGAAAGTGTGGGGACCCCTGGGGATGAGGTGAGACTCACCAGCAGAAGAGGGATGGATGGATGGATGGATGGATGGATGGATGGATGGATGGATGGATGGATGGATGGATGGATGGATGGATGGATGGATGGATGGATGGATGGGTGGGTGGGTGGATGGGTGGATGGATGGATGGGTGGATGGATGGATGGATGGATGGATGGATGGATGGGTGGGTGGGTGGATGGGTGGATGGATGGGTGGATGGATCAGGGATGGATCAGGGATGGATGGGGGGATGGATGGATGGATGGATGGATGGATGGGTGGATGGATGGGTGGATGGATGGATGGATGGATGGATGGATGGATGGATGGATGGATGGATGGATGGACAGATGGATGCACACATGGCTGAGGAGGTGAGGCAGCAGTGTCAGGCGGAGCTGTGGGGCTGAGCTGAAGGTGCAGCCCATGCAGAGGGTGCAGGAGAGGAGCACCAAGGCACAGGGAAGCCTCGTGCCTGCCCCAGCAGTGACTGTCCCCACCCCAGCTGGCCACACAAGCCAACCACAGCGCCAGCAGCCCCACTCCCTGCCCCAGCCAGTTGTCCCCAGGGGCTGCAGCAGTCACTTAATCCACAGCCTCAACCTCTAGACACCAGTTTAGAGGAGATTWTACTAAAAATGACCCACGCAGATGGCCTGCAAAGCTGTGTCCTCTCTCATTACAGTACACCGGGTTTTGTTCAGTGGAATTTTGGATGAGAGCCTGTTCTGAGACAGCAATCTCCCCACCCGAGCAGAGGAGCAGGTATTGCCTTACCAGCTTCAGGAAATCCATCCTATCATGTCTCAAAATACCTCTGCCACACAGGGAATGACACTTCAGGAGTTCACCAACAGTCACCAGCTGGGAGTAGCAACATTAAAAACCAACCCCAAACCCTGTGATCAGCCCCTGTGAGCTCACACTGCAAAGGATTTTGTTGATGACYGAGCACCTGGTGGCATCAGAGAGASCAAGAAGTAAAACACTTCTTCCCATTGCTGCAGGCTCTACCCCTCCATCCTCAACCTGATCTGTAATTTAATTTGGTTTAACCCACCTCTTCTCGTCCCTCAGTGCAGGCCTAAAGCAAACCTAGATGGCCACAAATGAGCAACACTCACCTTTGCATCCCTCTCTGCAAACTTTGTGAACATGTTGGCGTAGATCCTCCTGTCCCGCTCGTTGTGCTCCTTCGTCTTCTTCTGGCACACGGAGATTTGGGATTTCGCTGCTTTGTTCTGTGGATTCACTTCCAGCACTTTTTGGAAGTCACATTTTGCCAGCTCGAACTCGTTCATCAACAGCCTGGCTTCGCCCCTCCGGTACAAGCCTTTCTCATTGTCCTGGTCCAGCCCCAGTGCCTGGAATCACACACAGATCTCTGTTAATAGCTCAGAGCCCTCCCAAAAGATCCCCTACAGCTGGAGCCTCGATAAATCTATCAAAATTAGGACAAGGTGGCTTGAAATCTCCAGAGCACTTGTATCTTGCTCAACAAAAATTGCCTCATCTCTATCAGCAGCTGGCAGGTCGTTAATTTGGTTTTATTATCTCTGCTTGCTTAAAATACCCTGAGTGTGGCAAGGCAGTGGGAGACAAACTCACAAGCAAGGGATCAGGTGTAAAGGCTCAACCCAAGCCCTTTTGTCCCCCTGTTTTAGCAATGACATTATTTTCCTTTGGTAAAAGCCRTGTATTACACCTCAGGCATGATTCACCTTTGGATTAACACAAATATCACATAAATTTCCTGTATACAAGAAGCTTAAATCTTAGCTTTTTATTATAAAAGAATTCACAGCTTCCCAACAAAGACAAGGTCAAAGATYTTTTAGGGATGGGCAAAGCCCCATCCCACCCCTCATTGGGCTCTGAAATCTGCTCTAGCTCCATAGAGCCTGCCTGTGTCACACYCAGAGCAGAACCCAGACCCAAAAAGCATCCCAAGGCCATCAGTCTACACAGAWCCATCCACATTTGGAAGAAAASCTGCTATAAATGCATGCCCAGGTGRAWTTTGAACCCCAAAAGCCACTTGTGCTTGGGCAGTCTCTGAGCACAGAAACCTCCAGGTGCAGGAGGGATTCCACCATCCCACTGCTGTGTGGAAATTCTTTCTTATACAAAAAGAAATTTTTACAAAAACCTATCAGGTTCCCAAAAACATGCAGGAGGAAGAGGATGCTCCATCCCATGGGCTTGGGCACCTCTACCTTGTCACAGCACTCGACAGCCTTGGCATATTCACGCAGTTTCAGGTAGCACATGGCCAGGTTGAGGAAGGCAGCCAGCAGGAAGGATTCCGAGGCTTTGGATTCCTTTTCAGACAATCCATACTCCATTTCCAGCCAGGACACGATCTTGCCGTACTGGATCACTGCCTGCAGGTACTTGCCTTCCTGAAAGGAGCACCAGAGAGGCTCAGTTTGCCCCTGGAATGGCTCATGAGCAAGTGGAATGTGGGGGGTTTAATAAATAAGGGAAAAGAGGAGGTTCACAGCTCCTACAGAGCCAGTGGGTTTGGGAAAAACTGAGCAGAACAATGCAGGGCACTGGGATGCCCCAGATGGGAAGGGGAGCTGCAAAGCCTGGGAAGGGCTGGAAATTTGCTGTCCTGCYCTGCAGGGAGCACACACAGCCAAGGCAATGCTGGGAGAGGAGGAAAATATCTCAGGGAGCACCAAGGAGCGAGAAAAAGGTGCGGGGAGAGCAGGACTCACCTTCTCCAGCACTGTCCGGGCTTCTCTGTCACTGAGAGCTGCCAAATCCAGCCCCAGCTCCCTCCTGCACCTCTGCCACCCCCAAACCCACAAACCTTAAAGTACATGGTGCCCTTCTCCTTGACTATGGCTGCCTGCTCCAGCTTCTCCTTGGTGTCCATCTCCCACGACTCYTTGGCCTGCAAAGGAACATTTGGAGCACTCAGAGCCTCCCCTGGCCCAGCAAGACCGTGCTGCTCTCAGGGACAGCGTGGTGACACTCAGGGCTGCACCACRGGGTGGGGAGACAGATCCTGCCCCTGCTTTGGCCATGGTGATGGCACCTGAATCCCATCCAGGGATGTGCAAATCCCATGGGATTCTCCTGCATCCCATCCCCAGCTCCTCCAGAGCTGGCTGGATGCACCAGCTTTTATCTGTGCAGCCCGGGGGCAAAAAAAAAGGAGAAAAAAAGAGAAAGAGAAAGAGAAAGAGAAAGAGAAAGAGAAAGAGAAAGAGAAAGAGAAAAAGAAAGAGAAGGAAGAAAAAGAGAGAAACAAGGAGAGAAAAAGAGAAAGAGAAGAAAAAAAAAGGAGAAAAAGCAGGAAAAGGAGAAAAAGTGGGAAAGGGAGAAAAAGGAGAAAAAGAAGAAAAAAGGAGAAAAAGCAGGAAAAGGAGAAAAAGAAAAAAGGGAAAAAGGGAAAAAGAGGCAAAAAGAGGAGAAAAGAAAAAGGGAGAAAAAAGGAAAAAAGAAAAGAAGAGAAAAGAAGAGAAAAAGAGATAAAAAAGGAAAAAAGGGAAGGGGGATAAATGAGAAAAAAAGAAAAGGAAAAAGAAAAAAAAGAAATTAAAATAAAAAGAAAGTACAAAAGGACAAGGTTAGGAACAAATAAGAGACCCAGACTTGGACCTGAGCCACAAGAATAAAACAAACCAACAGAGAAGAACAAATTAAGAACACGAAGCTCCTTGGTGACGTGTCCACTCCAGCAGGGGTTGGGCTGCAGACACGCCAGGGACAAAGGCTGGAGGCTGCACAGACCCTGACATTCCTGTGACCCAGGGAGGGACCTCAGCATCTCTGCCCTCACCTTCTCAAAGCTCTTCAGGGTCACCTCGTACACCAGCTCAGCGTTCCCCTGGATGCCGTACTTGGGCTTCCCAGCCTCGCCAAAGCCGTACCTGGAGGAGGCAGTCAGAGGAGGGAAAAGCTTTCATTTTGGCAGAGCTTGGCCATAAATCCAGACCCAAGTCACCACCCACAGCTTTCTAACATTTTGTGATATTCTCCACGAGCAAAGGTCCCTGTGGATATGCAACACATTTTATTTTGGGGCTCATGCCTTCTGGCTGCACCAGAGCCATCTTTTTACACAGGGTGCTCTCCAGCCCTGACCATTTCCAGGGAGACCCTTTTCCTTGCCGACACTGCACTTTGATAAAGCCCTTCCACCTGATTTAAAAAAAATAATAAAAAAAAATAATAATAAAAATTTAAATATTCCTGCCTACATGTCACTGGTCACTCTTGCCATTCCTGATGGTGTTTTTTCTGACACTCTCCCAGAGAGTGTGCCCTATTTTCAGGATCATCTCCCACAAGTGCTAAATCAACACTGGAGGGTGAGACCAGCCCAGCAGCCCCATGGAGATGCTCCTTACCGTGGGCTGAGGTAGAGGATGCAGTGCTCTCCCCTCTGCATCTTCTCCAGGGCTTTGTCGATGCCGATGGGGATGTCGTGGTCCTCCCCTTCKCCCACCACGAATTTCACATCCTTGCAGTCGAACCTGCGGCCGCCGCAGAACCCCTCCAGGTGAACTGCAGAGGGGCAAGAGGGGCAGGATGGCACCCAGGATCACCCAGACAGTGCAGCCAGGATGTCCAAGGTGCCCTAGACAGCATTTTATAAAACATCTCTGSCAAAATTCAGAGTTGGGATGGCACSGSGCTGGGAGCAGCCTGGAGAAGAGTGATGGGGAGGGTTTGGGAACGTTGCTGGAAAGCAAGGCAGGCATATCTCGTCTAAGTGAGGACCAAACAACAGATAAACATCGTGACTAATATGTTCCCCTCGTACTCAAGTGCACGAGTCAAGTCTTACTGGAACTGGATATTGCTCCTGGCACGGCGCCAGGCRGAGTTTATCACGGCGATTACAAATCTCCTATACTGTGCTATACTGCCTTGACTCCTACCTCGACAACAAGGCCGCCTCCCCCCCCGGCTCTGAGGACTCAAAGTACAAGATAAACTTTTTATTTTTAATCTTCAACCAGGAGGCGTGCTGTTCCGGCCCCAGACGCTGGCAGAAGCGCAGCCGGAGCGGACACTGGGTACCTGGCACATTCACCACCTGGCACTCCTGGCTGGCTTTCCACAGCGAGATTATTCTTGATTTATTCAAACCTGAAGATGTTCCAGGCTTTGGGGACTTTTTTTTACAGCCTTTGCATTCTGCTCTCTGGTAAAAGGCACACACACATGCAGGCGGGCATCAAGTAAAAGTGATTGCACATGGAACTCCTACATACTGTTAAAAAAAAAATAAAAAAGCCCAAACAAACAAACAAAAAAAGGCGTTTTTTAGGGGAAAACTTCACAACTGTGCTTAAAGGTTTAGCARCCTGCAAGGATGTGTGGTTTACCTTTGCTCAGAGGGAGCAGAATGCCAGCTGAGATGCTGCAGGGTACTGAGCATCCTGCTGTGGTGGCAGGTGAGGGGCAGGACAAGCTGGGTATCAGAAACTGCCCTGGGGGTCTGGGCTCTGCAGGGGAGAGCTGCAGCTTGGGCTGGAGGAAATCTGKGTCCATCCCCTGCTCTGGGAACTACAGAAATCCCCATGGACCAAAACAGACCTGGCAGCACCCCCTTGCAAGGGCAGGACCAGCTCTTTGGTGTGACAAAACTGCCAAACAGAACCCGAGGATGCTCTGCCAACTCAGGAACACCAAACTCTGCCTTGTCACCCTGCTCTTGCCACCAAAAYCATGCTGGGATTAAGCAGAGGATGCTCACATCCTTGCCAGCTTCCTGGGATACATCCTGCATCCATCACCGGTGCACAGTGGCCACGGGGCTAAGGCTGCTGTGAGCTCACCCAGCTCAGGGTGAAGACAAAAAGCAAATCCAGCTCCTCCAGGGACAACCTCTGCTTTTGCACTACCCAAAACCAAGCTGGCTGGGTTTTTTTTAGGTGCAGGAAATGTGGAAAATTCTGCCTTAAATACAGGTAACCAGCCCCCAGCACCGTGCCACCTCCCTGCACGTTCCTATGGAGAACGAATCCAAAATCTCTGACCCTAAAATCAGCACCACTGCTCCCCCAGSTCCCACATCCCCTGTGGGATGGGAAGATCCCACTTTTAAACAGGATGCACGAGAGGATGGCGCGATCCTTCCTTCCAAGGATAGCTCTGCTCAGTTTTAATCACGCAGAAAACACACCCGAGCGAAGGCGGGGGGGAAAATCTCCGCTCGGGTTTCCAGGAGTGGGTCAGCTGGTTCAGCCGCTCTTGGATTACAGAGAAAAAAAAAAAAAGTCACCGAAGGAACATCACTCCGGTTGCAGCTCTGACTTATTGTTCTCTCAGTGCCTGCAGCGATTTTGTTTTTGAAGAGCTGAGAACAGAGTGTACTGAGTGCGGCTGGCACACGAACTTGATGTGCTGACAGCAATTTGTACTCAGATTAAAAACGGAGAAGGAGGAGGGGTGGGGGGGGAAAGGATGTAACAAAAGCTGGAATGCCAGATTTCAACTGCAGCACAGGTTTGAGGGACCAGAAACRGGGAATGAGGGTCTGTAAAACTTGAAGGCTGTAAAAAAAACTCGAATTGCTTGCTCCTGGGAGTGTGGCTTCTTCCAGCCTGGTTCCAGCACCTCCCAAAATACACGGCTGAGGTAAAACATCACAGCCTTGCCCCGGGATGGACTGCTGTGTCCCCACAGCTGCTATGACAGCCCCAGCACAGTGACCACCACACTGACAGGAGAATCTGAGTCAAAATCTCATTTTTTTCCTTAGAATAGAGGCTCGTTAGAAAAATCAGCTACTAAAAGCCGGGAGCTTTGCAAGCTCTAGTAGCTCAGATTCAATTTCTCGGTCGCTAAAGGGATTTTAGGATCTTTGAGTACAGGAGCTCTGGAATTGAGAGAAGAAAGTAAATGCTTCCTATGTGGGGCAAGGTCTGGGGCTGTGYCTRARTGGCTCTTGGAAGGGAAAAAAYCCAAAACCTGAGTCTGCCTTCCCCTGTCCAGMCCCATGAAAGGCTCCAGAAATGGGCTCTCAACAGGGAGAGCCCAATGGGGTGTGAGCTCCTCATCCTCCCACATCAGCTGAGACCACCCCAGCCTCAGCAAACCCCTTGTAATAATTTCCTTCTTCCTCCCCATCATCAGCACTCTGGCCATAAGGGAAGGAAAAAGCCCCATTCTGCCACCAAAAGTACCATCAACACTCGGACAAGGAGGCCAAAGAAGCTGCTGACAGCCCAAAATACTTAACAAGTGTTGAGGGAGGAAGGCCTGGCAAGTGATGCTTTGGAGGCTAGCCAGAGCCAGGGGTTTTGGCAGATGGAACATCACAGAGCACCTTGGACAYTAATGGGATGCAGAAGGGTGGGGCAGAGCCCTGAAACCCCACAGAGGTTTGCTTCTTCCATCCTCCCCCAGTCTCTGCCCCGAGCAGCTCCAGGGCTTTCCTGAGCTGCTGGTTTTCCCCCCAGCCCTGCAGGGCAGCAGCTSTGGCAATGCCACCACAGGGGCCAACCAAGGAGAGCTCAGAGGAGCAWCCCCAGCCACTCTCCATCCCATCTGACCTCGGGATGGACGTCACCCCATCCCACCAGGACACACGGCCACCCTCAGCCTCTGCAGCTCCTTTCCAGGGGTCAGCTCAGGACAGGCTGAGCCCTYCAGGTCACTCACTCTCCACGGTGGCACCTTCATTAGGGTTGGAGTAGCCTTCCCCCTTCCTCTTGATCCTGCGGATTATTCCTCCATCCTCAAACAAGTCCTCRCCTTTGAAGTCAAGCAGCTCGACCTGAAAAATAATAAAGGAAAAGCRGGCAGAGCTTAGGGAGGGGAAAGGAGAAAAACAACAGAGGAGCCACAAAGCAGCAGTTCATCCCATGGCTGGAGAACCAAGCCAGCTAATTCTGCGTTCAGCTGACGAGCAGAAGTTGCCCATAAAACCCAGATCCAAACCACAGCTCAATCCAGGCAATTTATTAGAAACTGGGACACATCCAGTACCTGAAGCATAACACAAAGTAACAGCAAAAATAAGTTTATTGAACCTGTGAGGGCACAGCACAGCTGCTGCTGCTGCTGGAAGATGCTGTGAAAGTCGTCCAGCATGGGCAGGAGCTTCCCCTTCATCCTCTGATGAGAGCAGCTCCGAGCCTCAGCTTAGTCCAGGCTCGACTTGGAAGAACTGAGCCTTAATTTAGGACAGGCTCGCTCCTCCTGCCGCATCCCAGTGAGCCCTGCCCCAAGAGCACACTGTGCCAGAAACTTAACTTTCCTACCACCCCACAGCAYTAATGGTTTTTCAGCACCTGGAGGCATTTCCCAGCTGCTTTTTCCTTCCCATGAGCATGTTGAAACCAGGAATCTGCCCACTCCCCGCCCCAGCACYAGGACTCTGCTCAGCTGGAGTTTCAGTCCCAGCCTTCCAGCTCAGACACACATTTCTGAGAAAGCCCTGGCAGCGGTTCCTGGAGCGGAGGGACATGTTTCAGGAATCCAAGTTGGATTTTTTTTTGTTGTGGTTTTTTTTTTAATTGTTGTTTGGGCATTGTTATTATTATTATTATTATCATTACCATTATCATTATCATTATCATTATCATCATCATCATTTTTATATTTATAATTTCAATTTTTATTTTTATTCTTATTTTTATTCCTATTTTATTCTTTTAAATCGTTATTTTTATTGTTTTTATTGTTTCTATTATTTCTATTATCATTATTGTTTTTAATCTTTTATTTTAATAAAAAATAATAATTTTTTTTTATTCTGAGCTGGCTGTCAAGGCAGAAAGGGAACGAGCTTGCTCATGCACACAGCAGCTCACCAGCATTACTTGCCTCGAAAAAGAGGGTGGCGTTGGAGGGGATTTTGGGGGCACTGCCWGCAGAGCCATATGCATACTCAGGTTTGCAGAGCAGGTAGCAGATCTCTCCCTTCTTCATGGTGGCCACCCCAATGTCCCATGCCTTGATTACCTGACCTGGGAGAAAGGCAGATGTCAGGCAGGAGGGAGAAAAAAAGCAGCCTGGGTGCTGCAAGGATGGCACCCAAAATCCCATATTCACAGGTCACTTAAGGGTGCCACTGTCCTGCACCAGGGTCTGCTGATCCCCCACCCCGAGGTGGACACCTCACCCTTGCCCAGGCTGAAGATGAAGGGCTCGTTCCGATCACGGCTGGAGTCGAATTTTTTCCCGTTGGCCAATTTCCCTTTGTAATGCACGTAAACCTTGTCCCCGATCATGGGAGACTCATCCTCRCTGCCGGGTCTCTTAATGATCTGAGAGAGAGAAACCAGCCATGAGCAGGGGCTGTGGGGCAGCCCAGGGTGTGTGTGGAGGGGGAGAGATGCACACAAACACATGAATTTACAGAAATACATGTATATACACCATAAATATATATAGATACACCATAAATATATATATATACACCATAAATATATATATACATAATATATACATATCTATATACCATAAATATACATGTATACATCATAAATATATATATATATACAGGCATATAGACCCAGTGCTGCTCTGGGAAGGCTTGTGGGGGAGATATTCAATTTGCCCCTCAATTTGTCCTTCACCAGCCCCTAAAAACAAATCTCAGACTGGAGCCACAGCAGGGGAGCTGGACAGGGCTGGGAGAGGAGAGCAGCCTGTATTTTGTGGACAAACAGAGTGGTTCCAAACCTGCAGTGAACACAGCTCCCCTCGCTCTCTGCCCGTGCACATTTTACTCACAGGGTGTGTCAGTTCACTACTCGCTTCTTGTCAACACTTTTTTCTGAACGCTGTGGCCGGGAACAAGCAGTTCTCGAGCTGAGGATGGAGCAGGGGAGGATGCTATTCTTGGAGGAAAGGTCCTGCTCAAGTGGAGAAGTGCAAGTGCTGGGGAGCAGAACTATCCAGAAACGGCCCGGAATATGAAAAAAAAAGGGGCTGTGGAGCAGACTGGATGATCTCAGTGATGTGCTCTTTCTAATGTTTGTGAGTCACACACAGAAATGCTTTGTGGATTTGCAGCTAATAATGTGATTAGGAGCACAATAGCAGTGAAATTCACGGAACAGCCTGGGCCCACCAGCATCAGCCACAGCTCCATCCTCCTTCACTCCAAGAGATGCTCGTCCCCTTTGCCTTTGAAACCACAGAACTCGATCCTACAGCCCTGGAACTGTGKTTCACCAGCACAGTGAATGTGCACCCCAAAATGCAGGAAGGCAGGACTCTCTCAAACATCCCACTCACCTTGAGAACCCCTCGGTCTTTGGATGGTGTGATGTCCTCCCCACGCTCKGCCAGAGCCGCTGCCTGCACCTCCCCTTCGCTCTTGGTGGCCTCATCAGTGGTCATGGTGTCCTTGCATAAGCCCTGGAGCTGGGGGGACACAGCACAAACCCCGTGAACCTGGCAGGGCCATGGTGGAAGGGGAAAGGATTTGTCACCCTGCACGGARGGACAATGCACAAACAAGTATTTTCTCCAAAATTCAAAGCAAACCCCAACACCAAAAGAATCCCAGCTATTCGGGTGGATAAAGGGAACACTCGCAGCAAGAATCTGAGGAGCTGGGGAGATTTTTGGGCAAAGCACTGTGCTCCCAAATGTCACCACAGAAGCAGACAAGGTGCCAGAAAAGCCACGTTTTCCATTGAACACAGACTTTTTCCAATGGTTCTTGGTGAAAAAAAAAAGGAATTGCCTACAGTTTCAAAAACATATTTCCTGATGATTTCCTTCAGACCATGGGGCTATTTTGGTAGCTGCACTGCTGGGCGACACATCATCAAGGAAACATGTGACAGAGAATTAGAAAGCGATGGGTTTTTTAAGACATAAACCAGATCTATTAAAGCCACTCTAATTGCGAAACTTTCCCACAGTCTTCGGCGTGGAAGCTGATGTTAACCAGCAGGAGAAATCATTCATTTGGGGGACTCAAAAAAGAGCAAAGAAAGGATGTTTTCAGCTCCAGGGACAGATAAGTCGYGCTGCGAGAAGAATCGCGTCCCTCGCACCCGGGTGGAAAGGGAAGGACTGGAGCCCGGCCCCCCCAGCACAGGAAGCCACCGAGACACAAAGAGCCCTGAAATGGAAGAGGCAAAGAGAAAAATAAGGGAACTACTTGTTGCAAAGCTCAATTATCACAGTCTTCGGGGTGATATTCAATGGGATGCTGCGTCTGCTCCCTTTCCTCTGCGCTGGTGAGGGTTCAGATGGGAACAGCTTGAATAAAAAAGGTTTAAAAAGCAAGGCAATGTGTGGTGAGACCATTATCTCGCAGGTAAATGCTGGAAAATGTGCCATRGGCTATTTTGGAAGAAATGTTTGGTAATGTGGGTGGTGAAGGACTGGTTACCCAAAAAATGTGATGGATGCCCCATCCCTGGAAACATTTTGGGKGAGTTCRGGCAGARCTCCRAGCAACCTGGTCTAGTGGAAGGTGCCCTGCTTGCAGTACTGGGGCTGAGCTAGAGAGCCTTCAAAGGCTCCTTTCAGTGCAAACCATTCCATGATTCAAWGATTTGKGTGCTGGGATGGTCTCCAAGCCACCACAGTCCACTCTGCCACCACCACAGTCTTCCTMTTGGAGAGGAGTGAGGAGGCAGCAGTGCCCATCACAGTGCTGGCACTGAACACCAGTTCAGAACCTGCACAGCACCAGGGACACAGCACCCATCACCCACTCACAAGGACCAGGAAAAACCCAGAAAGAGGAGAAGATCACCCAAGCATCACCACCTCCCRGGGCAGAACCTCCCCAGGTCCACCAAGCAGCCACCACCGGGACGCAGAAGACGGACAGGGAGGTGCTGGCTCCGGCTCGCCGCTTGCTAAATCCCACCAAGAGACATCTAAAAATACACCCTACGCATCCTTCTCATTATTTTTTCGACGTAAGCAATTAGAGGAGTCATCCAGGGAAGCTGGCCAAGGCGGGAGGGAGGGGAGACGCTCTGCGTCAGCAGYGCTGGGAGGGATGGAGCCCGCAAGAGCCATCGAGACGTGGTCCACGTTATGAAAGAGCTCGCCACTCCTGCGTCCAGCAAAAACCGCTCCAACTAGGTTAAGAGAAAAGAGTGAGCTGCTCCCACTTATCTCCCAGTTGGAACGGCAGGAGGAGGCTGGCCCCGRGCCAAAATCGCAATTAATTTGAAGCAAACTGTTGTAGGGTAAAAAAAAAAAAAAAAGAAAATCTCTGCTGCTCGCTGAGGTTTAAATGCCAGGCAGGCAGGGATGTCACTGAGAGCACAGTGAGCTTGCTGCTGCTGTCAGAGTCAGAATCTGAGTGTTTGTACGCTCTGGGTACAGGGAGGGCTTTCTGAGATCATTAATTACCCCTTGCAGAAGCCCCTGGGTGTTTCTGACACCCCGAGAGGGTCCTGCTTTCCCATTGCTGCTGCTACCCACAAGATTAATGCTGTGAGCTTGTAAATGAAGCCAGGAAAATCCATCCATCCTCCCTCCTCTGAACATCAACACAGCTTCATTTCCCCGGGATGTAAACACGGACGGGTCGGAGAAGCACAGAAATAAATAAAAACAAGCCTTTAAATTTCACAATTCCCTCTCCACACAGGTGCTGCTGCCTCMCAAATAAGAGAAAATTCTGTGAAAATTCCGAGGGGAGAAGGGGATGCAGATGTTTGACCCCRGGCTGAGGACAGACAGGTATCACACATGCTAGAGTTTCACCGACCACACGATCCGCGGCCGCTTTTCCTAGAAATCGGCGTACCGGGAATTTGCCAGCTCCAAATGGAAACTTCTTGTTGCAGATCCCTCCCAGAGGCTCGCAGGAGGAAAAAGGGGCAGGGAAGAGYGAGGCTGGGCAGCGTTTTGAGGGGTCTCACCTCGCCACCGTGCAATTCTTGGAGGTTTGAAGGTGCAGGGAGAGTCCAGGCCCAGAGACACAGTGGGGAAATACCTGGTAGGAAAAGGGGGAGACAAAAAAAAGCAAAAAAAAATCAACAAAAAACACACTTTATTCTAAAACAGGAATTCAGGATTTAAGAAGAAGGGAGAACAGAGCAGTTTTGAGCCACAGATCATGCTCCACCATGGTCAGAGAGGGGTGATGAAGACTATGCCCAAAACTTGTTTAAACTCACAAAAACAGCATCTTACCATCAGCTTTAAAAAAAATACATCAAGGCTATGCCCTGCCCAGTTGTTTCACTGGGGTGAAAATTAAAGGGATGAAAAAATAAGAGCTGGCTGCTCTGGGGTTTGTTTTCCAAGCCCCACTCAGCACAAAGCACTTTCACTTCCACGGCACCACAACGGCCCTAAAAGCTTCGGATTGCAACACAGGAGGGAGTTTCTTGAAAACGCAAAGGTCAGGCTTAAAAACAACAAATCTGAAAGCACAGCAGGGACATGGTGGGGCCCTGGCTCCTGGTGATCATCGCCCCAAATCCCAGCCCCTCGAGCTGGGCAGCAGCATATCCTGCAGCCCCAGCACAGACTGGTAATGAAGAAAAACCCAATTAGTGCAGCAGATGACTTTCTCCACTGTCCCACAGTGGATCTGTTTCCCCTTTCATCACAAGAACGACTTTTTTTCTAATAAAATCCCTTCTTGCTGAKCAAGCTGTCCCTGTGCAGCAGGAGAGGGAAGACCAGAGCAGTGATTTTTCCTGGGTGAGGGTGTTTTAAGACACCTCAACRCCAGCCTGCTGAGCAGAGACCCAGGAAGATGATGGTAATAAGTTAAAATTGGGATTTCTAACAAAATATGACCTCCTTAAAAAAGACAAACAGCTCCACATAATCCTCACCTGCATCACAATGCATAGGGAAAATCCCAGACACTGAGTGCTGTTTCTCACTCATACATCACAGTGAATAAATTTTTCTCTTTTTTTTTTTTTTTTTTAATCTCGGCCATTTGACTTTCTCCCCCTCCTTCAAAACAAACAGGGAAGGCATAAAATTGAAACTATTGTTCCCTGAGTAAGAGCTGCCCTGGATCAATTTACTCCCTGGAGTGCACGTTGTGAGAGCGGCCAAACCCCCAGCAGGCCGGGCAGGGCAACTTCCATTTGAACAAAAACCCAAAATGCAAACAAATCAAAACTCTGACAAGCCCCCACAGCACCCAAGGTGAGCCCTGATTCACTGAGGACCCAAGCAAAACCCCTGGTTTCCTTTATTCACAGACAATCCCTGCACCCAAGGGTGACAGGGATTGATTGACCTTGATATCCCTCCCGAGCAAAAAAAGTGCCACTCACCCCATGGGGACACCTCAGAGGGGGCTGCAGCCCCAAATCACCTCCCAAGGACCAGGAGGGAYCAGCCTTTTACCAGAGGAGCAGCAGCAAGGGCAGGTTTTAAAACAATTAAGTGAGAAAAGCAAACTGCTGCGTGCAGCAAACTGAAATACAGTGGTGGATGCTGCCATCACACTTGACCCATCATTCTGCCCAGCTAATATTTTTAAGCTTCTGAAATGGTTTTATTTAAGATCTAAATCATAACTGATTAATTTTTTTTTTTAAATATGTGGACTAAGAGGCTGTTCCTCAGCTGCAGCGAGGGGAATGAGTGAGCAGGATGGGTCACTAAACCCTGCCAGAATAAATATTTCAACCAAAAGCAAGATGGGCTCAGTCCCTCTGCATCCCCTGCAGCGAGGTGAGCACGCCCRTGCCAGCAGCACACAAAAGACTTTCAGAGAGGAGCAGTTTGATTCYCCCCCAGTTTACAGTATAAACCCATTAAAAAATAATCTGGCTCTTCTGCTGGTTTTCTAGCAAGGAAAAGCTTGCTTGGTGWGTTTTCCAGGTCGCTTCAAAATGAAAAAAAAAATGTATCAGAGGGATAAAGCTCCTTTGAATTTTCTTGTGAGCAGCCCGTGGTCCATCTCCTCCAGAGCAGGTAACCAGAGACACAATGCCCTCCACTTACATGTGAAAATGAATAATTTTATTTTTTTTTAAATCATCATTTTCTTCTCTCCCTCCCTTGTTTTGTAGGACAAGCTTATCCTGGGGAAAGCAAAATCCACAGACATTTATGGGCAGCTGCTTTTCCCAGGGGAGAAGGTGCCAGGGCAGGATGAGGTGGAGGATTTTACACACTGATGCTCTTTAGCTCTTTTCCCACCCATCCCCAAAGTCACCCCTGAACCCAGCAAGGATTTCAGCTGCTCCCAMCACAAAAATCACTGCAGGTCTCTGCCACGAGCAGCAGATCCTCAGAATTCTGGGAAAAGCAGGAATGCCCAAAGTTTTTGCTCTGCAYCACAGGGAGAGGGACCAGGCTGCACCCATCCTGCTGCTGAGAGGCTGAYGCAGCTTTTGAAACAAAACAAAATAATTGCCTAAAATAAAATAATTATAGAAATATGGGAATATTAAGTGTATAAAATATTAAGTGTACAAATGTATAAATATATAAACAGCTGTTCTACACCTGTCTGAGCTTTTTGGGAGACAMCTGGSAGAGGGGCCAAGCATCCTAACACAATACACACAACAGTGGGAAATGAAATTTCCTATGGCTTTCATAAATTGGGATTATATAACTGGACAGGAAAAAAACCCCATAATAATATAGCCAAGCAGGTTATATAAACCATCTGTAAAATGTGAGAAAGTACTTGACATCCTGCTACCCACTCCTTGGCACCCTCTCACTGGGTTTTCTGCCACCAAAAACGAGTGGGTTCCTCTTCAGTCGTGTCTTCTCTCCTGGTCAAAACAACCAGGGAGAACAGACCAGTTGGGCTTTTTTGGAATGAAATATTCCACCTCTGGCTGTTGAATGGGATGTTTCCATCCCCATCCAGATCACCAAGTGGAGTCCAAGCCCTCCACAGGCGACTCGAAGCAGYGGCTGCGCCAATGCTGAGCAAATTCAATTTCAAGCGACAGCTTGGGGGGGACCAAAATAAATACAAAATGGGAATAAACAAGAAACTACTTGTTTGCCAATTCTGTTTTAATTTAGCCTTTTCTCCAGAATAAATATGGCAATTAAACTCGGATTTATTTAATTTTTTTTTTTTTCCTTCCTAAAAGCATCTCATCGCTCGCAACAGATTTCGGGTTTTCTCCAAGCAACTCACAGCCAGGTGACCCCTGGCAGTGGAAATGCTGTTTATTTAATGATCTATTTAGTGATTTATTTAATGATTTATTTAGTGGTTTATCCCCACAAACGAGGGCTCAGCAGCTCCTCGAGCATCCCAGTGCTGAATTCCAAGGTGGGGATCCCCGGCTCAGCAGCTCTGGCACCCRGGAGTAACTCAGCACCCAAGAAATACCATCTGCACCAGCGGTCTAGAAATGCCAAATTATTTTGGGCAAGCRGCAATTCCCRGCGCGTTGTGAAACTTCTGCCCCGRTGCCAAACGAGGATTTCTCRGGGAGGGTGAGGAAGTGCCACAAACTGCAGGAGGGGCAGTGGGGTGGGCGCTGCCAGCGCTGGGGACRCTGAGGAGCAGCAGGGGCACAGGAYACMGTGGATTTGGGGACAATTCTGTGCCACCAGCAGGTCCCTGCCAGCCCACAGGGGTGAGAACAGGCATTTAGACACTCGTGAGTCCTGACACACATCGGGGTGCAGCACCTCAGGGTGGGCAGGGGGTCTGCATCCCCCTGGGCTCACTGCCAGGGTGGCTGTCACATCCCAGCAGTGATGCTCTTTGCCAGGCTGTGCCTCCCAGAGCGGGTTTTATCAGGTGGTTAAAGTTAATATAAACCAAAAAGCACTCAAAAGGAGAATATTTTTTAATCTCAGGGCAGCGCTGCTATTGACAAAGATGGGATGCTGCAGGTGGAAGATGATTTAATTGCGGTCCCTCGCCATCCCAGCTCTTCACTTTTGACAGTCACTTTAATATTATTTTCCTGATTTTCCAAGGCACTCTCTTGCAAAATCAGAAATCCTTACTAATCACAATTACCAGTTCTGGAAAAAGCCTGTCAGCTCCATGACAAACAAGTTACATGAACAACTTGTACGTTAGAGCACTCGTGGCCACTTCTTTACTCCCACGAACACAGAACATTAAAATTTTGAAAAAAAAAAAAAACCCTTGCAAAGTCATTTCTATTTCCCTGTGATGTGCACAAGATCAGTAGGAGCTTCACAGCTCCCTCAAGGGGCCACAACAACTTTTATATAAATACATGTAACTGAGCGCGACTATAAAATAAAATTGATACAAAATAGCATAAAAAGAGGAATAACTGAGGACAAATTATTCTCCAAAACAGTTTACRAAATATTTTTCCCCTGGGCCGGTCTGGGAGCTGCAGCCAGACCGAGGAGGTCTCGGTGCTGAGCATCTCAAACATTCCAGCAAACTTTCTCCTTCTGTGAGGGAGTAATTAAAACACACGTAATTACCCACCAGTGAAAGTCCTGAGGGATGGAGTTTGGTTTTTATTCAGGAATTGTCCTTATTTTTTGTCTCACCCCAGCAGCAAGGTACTCTAAAAGTGTTGGGAAAGGACCTGAACATCTCCAAAGCGTGTGCTGGGCAAACACAGCCTCGGAAGCTGAGGTGATTTGCATTTATGATTTTTAAAAATGAGGAAAAAAAAAAAACAATTGCATGAGCAACGATCCTGGCAGGCACCTCTGCTGTGAGCAGGATGGGCACCACGAGCAGTCCCTGCATCCCCCAGCCACCAGCGAGGCCACGTGCTGCCACCCCTCCCTGCATTTCAGCAGCAGAGAAAACTTCTTCACCAGCTCCCCAGAAATCTGCTGGGTGTTTTTTCCATGCCCCCCCTGTATTTTCCCCGGCACAAACCGCACCTGCTCCGTCACCCAACCCCCAGAAAGTCCTTGGCTGCYTCTTCTTCCACCAGAATTCCATCACCCCCGGGTGCTTTGAGYACCCAGCTCCATCACACCCCTGCCTTCCTCCTCCTGCACCCCACAAGCTGCAGGGACGAGGACCAGCACCCCTTCAAGAACCAGAAACCCACCCAGGACAGCCTTGGGCTGCAAAACCCTGAGCACCATTTCAATCCCTTCTTAGCCCCACACTCCTGGGTAACCCTCTGGGAGCTGTGGACGTTGTTCCCTCTCTGTCAGGGGTGGTTTTTGTCYCCTCCCCAAAATTGTGTCCCATTTCCAGGGTACCAGGCTGGAAATGCAACCCAAATATCGCCGAGTCACAGCTCTGCCACCCAAATCAAACCCACAGCACCTTCAGAAACACAGCCCATAAAAGCCAGAATCAGGCTCTGCCAGATGTATTTAATGATTTTCTTCTCCTCAGCCTTTCAGCGGGACAGGGGAGGAGGCAGGAGGGAGGCAGCTTTCCCATGTTTYAAAGGAAAGAGCAATTTCTGCTTTCAACTTTTCTTTTTAAACTTTTAATGCCAGTTTCCAGGCTGGCTTTGATACCCCAGTGATGTCCTCAAATTCATCTCAAGTTTAATAGCTCAGTTAGAGTGAGACTCTAAACTCTGTCCTTAAAACTATAAAGTACCAGCTTCTGAAGTACCAGCTCCTGGATTGCTTTTATATATATATATTTTTTTTTCCATTTTATTTTATTTTTAAGGGTATTTTTATTTCTTTTCACCAGCTCAGTGAGGACAGAAATACGGTGCAGCATTGGAGACTCAGCTGGAAGCTGCAGCTTGGGGACACACCAATGACAGACGTATCTCCCACGAGTTCCTACAGCCCATTGTGTAAAATACAGTTTCCTGAGAAGAGCAAGCTCACTCGAACGTGCATTTTAAAAACAGAGGCTCTGAAAGAGTTTTTATGCCCGGAGAGGAGGGAAAAAAACGCTTAGAAAAAAAAAAAAAAATCACATTTACCTTGTGCAACCACTTGTACCTGCTGCCAAAGTCTGTGTATAGTGATGCACACACCCTGCGGGGTCTCTCTGGTCGGTGGTGTTAAAAGAAACACTAAGRCAGCGCCCGGGAGCCTCGGATGGGGCGGTGAAGCGGGGAAAAGAAAAATCCCCTCCGGCAAGCAGCATCCCGGGATGTCCCGGAGCATCCCGGTGTCGCCGGCACCGCTCAGGCGCCGCTGCGTTAACTCCTCCCCGGCATCACCGGGGGAGCTCTCCGGGGCAGGAGCCCTTCCTGTCCTCACCCCACAGCCTCRCTGAGGCCACCGTGTCCTTCCCCATCGCCCCAACCCCACGCGGGACCGCGATGTCCCCTCCACGTCCCCAGGCGGGGTCCATCAGCCCCGTGCGCGCTGTCCCCGCTCCCGCACCGCCCCACGCTCTCGCACCCCACCGACCCACGGCACCGGTCCGGCTCCCCCCAGGACCCCGCAGGGTCCCGCAGGGTCCCTCAGCCCCTCACGGAGCTCCCCGAGCCCGCCGGGACCCACCTGTCGCTGTGGCTGTCGCCGATGTCGCCGCCGCCGCCCGGCTCCGAGTGGCCCCGCGCGCCCGCCCGGCCGGGCCGCCCCGCCCCGCGCCCAACGCCCCGCCCTGCTCGCGTCTCATTGGCTACAGCGACTGCCAATCTTAATGTCTGCCTGTCTATTGGCTGTGGCTGCGGCGATATGCAAATCAGAGCGTTGTGCCCGCCCCCCGGCGCGCGGTGCCCGCGCACTCGTCGGGGTGGCACCGGAGGGACCGGGGACAGCGGGGACAGCGGGGAATGGGACAGCGGGGACAGCGGGGACAGCAGGGACAGCGGGGACAGCGGGGAATGGGACAGCAGAGAGCGGGACAGAGGGGACAGGGGACAGCCGGGACCGGGGACAGCGGGGAACGGGGACAGCGGGGAACGGGGACAGCGGGGAACAGGGAGCAGAGACAGAAGGGACAGTGGGGACCGGGGATAGCGGGGACAGCGGGGAATGGGACAGCAGAGA